TTAGCAGTATGTTTTACCTACTTAAAAGGTAATTGCTCCAAAGCCCCAGTTATACAATGCACTTTCTCATACGTCAGGAATGATGCTGCTACTTGGAGCACAGACTTCTTATCTTGAAATATTTCTTCTTCAACATTCAGCAGCAAAAGCTTGATAACTAAAACTGTTAAATGTACACATTTACATTATACATACATATACTGTATTTTCTAAGAAACAAATCGGCTTTAGAGAGATGGGAATAAAGCCTGTTTACATAATAATTCCATGGGAAATGCACAGCAATTTCCTTGTTTACACTTTTCATTCTGTTGTCATTTAAATAAAACTTACAGTTGCTTTTCAGTTACCTAACCTCCAGAAATTTTTGTTATAGTCAATTTACTTTATCTCAATTAAACAGCACCTGTGAGAAACACAGCACAGATCATATATGCAGGGACAATCCCAGCTCATGATGAAGTTGAAGTTACCTACCACGTACTGCAAGTCAGACTTCACCCTTACAGCCAGGTTAATACAACACAGTTCAGCAAAATATTAAAGAACAGAAGTTGATGGTTAAATATTTGAATCATGCACTAGCCTGTAAAGAACCTGCCCAATGTTCGAGGACACGTGTCTATTTTATTTATATTTATACCATGCAGCACCTCAATGTTAGAATCAATTACAGACCAAAATAACAAATTATGGATAACTAACAACAGGAGCATATAACAAGGAGACATGAGGTTACCCATGCATTTGCTTCATCTGTGGCAACTACAACCATGTCTCAAATCATGAATCCTGAAAAAAACCCCAAGCCACAATATTGCCTATTTTACCGAACTTCCATATTGATTTAATTAAGCTACTTAGCACCCTGGAATCCAAGAACCTGCTTTTCAGTAAGTCTGTTGGTATGTATTTCTTAAGAAACATTTACTTTGTACACTCATCACCTTACACTCAAAACGTGTGTGTATGTATTTGGCAAAGATGCAATTATGGATGCACTGAGGATGGGGACAGTCATTTATAAAGCAGAATTCAAACATGTTGCACTTCAGAGGAGAATGGTTTTGGTTTCTGGTATTGTGTTTTGTTGGGTTTTTTTGTTTTGCTTTCACAATACTGTGGCTTATCTGCTAATGGACATCATGGAGAAGCATAGTTTATCAGGAACCAGTATTTGTTTGACAATACTTAGGAATTTAAAAGTAACTTTCTATGAAGTAATAAACAGAAAAATCAGTATCAGGCAAAATTTGGGATAAATCAAAAAAGACAAACAGATGATGAGATCTGAGACAAATCTGAAAGGAAAAAAACCATAGAGCTCAATTTGCTACAGTATGAGTAACCAAACCAAAATGCCTCAATTGCGTACAAAGGGAAGGCACAGCTAAACAAGTAGATTGCATTAACTTGTCTGATAGTTCATAGTCATACCCCTGAGCTTCCCAAACACCTTCACCCATTAGAGAAACAAGCCTCGTTATGTGAGGGCAGAAGCTTTGAAAAAATATACAGAAGATGCTAGCAATGAACACTACTGCAGGCAACTTTGACTTCTCTTTTTCATGGGCTATGCTTTCTACCTAATTCTAGTACCTGGTGTAATGCAGAACATTAATCTTTTGCAAAATTATTCCATTTAAACTATCTTTTATTACATACCTCTAAATTAAATGCAACATCATGTAGCTTCATCAACAACCCACTTGCCAGAACTTTTACTTCCTCAAAAGTACTGGCAAAACACTGGATCAAAGTTTGGACACAAGTAGAATAAATCTCCTGATTCAGCTGAAAAACTTGTGCTTGGTCTCTTCAAAGAAATCAACATCTCACATAGCTTTGTTGTAATTCTTTACAAAATAATCACTGTATTCACATTTTACCTAGTTATACTAAAAGAAGCATTAAAATAAAATTCTGGCTAAAGCATTGTTTTAATATTACTTACTTCTCTTAATAGGTCTTAAAATGTCACATTTACTGTTGAGAAAAAAGGTTCCCATATCCAAAAAAAGTCACTCAGTAATACAGAAAATAACTTGTTGCCAAAACCCAGCATCAAATTTATTCACATTAAATTCAGCACTAAAAATAACCTCTAGCTTAGCTGTGCTTAAAAACTCCTTTCCTGGAAGCATGTAATATTAGACAATCCACTCAAAAAAGGTTTAGAACTTCAGTGTGTTTTGGGGGTTGTTTTTTGGGGGTTCTTTTTGTCCTAGAAATAATCCCCTCAAATGGAAGACATTACTAGTTTTTGCTTTTAATTTAGATTTAAAGGAGTCCTGACTTCTGGTGACTAACCTAATGCTGTAAAGAAGCCAGAAACTTTAAGATGTAAGCAAGTGCACCATGAATCACATTCCAGCATAGAACACAACAGCAGCTTCTGAAGGAAGCTTCTGAAATCCTAAAGCTGCTATTATAAACAACTCTCAATACAACTTTCTATTAAAATAAATAAATAGTCAACAACTTATCACAAACTCCTAATAAAATTACTGTGTTCATGATTTACCAGGGGTTTCGAGAAAAGATCTACCAAGGCATTTTTAATTCCCTCTCAAAATCAGCTTAGTTACAATTTAAGACTGAAAACATACTTCCATGTTGGCCACGTGATCCCAAAGAGAAGATTTAGCAAGACCATAAATGCTAACCAAAACTTCTCAAATTGAGGTTGTTATTCCATTGTGAATAATATTTACAGTAACAGCAGCACAACATCATAAACTGTCCAATTAAATAGTTCCTTATTTAGTATAATAATATCATGAGGCTATGATATGCAAGCCTTTTCAATAAAGAGCTTTTATGGTCTCAGTGTTCTAAATTACATATTATCAAGATGTCAGAACAGGAAAAGGGGGTAAAGTTGTCCAAAATTTTCTTCATAACAAAAATTCATTGAAAAGCCTTGCTAAAAACAGGCTATGCAAGAAAAATCCCAATTTATGGAAGATACTCAACAGGCCACAAACATCTGCATTTACTTCACTATTCCTTTTTCAAATAAACCCATTAATATCCTTCCTTCAGGTAAAATGAAACCAACACAGGAAAGGCCACAAAAATTAAGAACTATGAATACAGTTTTGACAGGAATTTTCTATCTGGGATAAAGATTTTTCCTCTGTTCTCCCATTCGTGCAGCCATTAAATTAGTTTTCTCACCTTCTGGAACAGAAAGTATTACTGCTATTGTTCCTAAAATATTTAGTGCAGAAAATCTGGTTGGGTGTGATGAACCAGGAAACAGTACCCCAAATAGTCTGTCACATACAGATGACATGAAATCCTGAAAATCACAAGAAAAAAATGTAGACAGTTTATTTGCTGTCCTATAAACAGAACTCTAAGTAACCAAATTCAGGACATTCTGCTTTATATATTACCCTCCAAAATACGACCTTACAATTAATTTTGGAAGACTGGGAGGCCTACCTGTACAGTACTGACAAAATTCTTGAACAAGAAAAACAGAACCCAAGACAAGAAACAGTTTAACACAAAGAAACTGATATGTAAGCCTTCAAATAGGAAAAAAGGACAAATACAAAAGAAGTCTTCAGATGGAAGTCTTTGTGCTGAACTCTATCACTCTCTCACGGATCAATCTGGAGTGCTTGAAGAAGGCTGTAGCTCAATGGATCTCTAGCCCAAGCCTAGGTACCACACATCATTTAAAATCTGCTACTAAACTGCCAGCAGATGACAAGACATTTACCTAAAAATTTTTGTTTGGAGTGGGGGTACATCTCCAGTCATTCCCCACTTACTGATGCTTCAGTTCACACCATGGAGCAATCACTTGGGCAATAACCTTTTTTACTTTTGGATGAAATTAATCTTAAAGATACCCTCCAGATACTATGGAGGATTAGTTCAGTTGTCTCATTTTATGAGAAAACAGTATTATTACCTTGCAAAGTGCATACAGTGCAGATAAGGTCCTCAGCCCTGTTTTGCTTTAGAGTTTTCTTTCTAATGCACTGCACTATTCCCTAACACAGACACAGCGTAACCTACCCTAGAGACGTTTTCAAGAACAATGAAATACCTTTCAGAAATGCTATCCCACCTCTAGTATCTGTATCTCTAGCAGTCTAATTTATTTGATATTGATGCAAAATCCCCAGAGGACGCCTTTTAGTTGAGTTTTCAAGTAACTCTTGCTTGGTTTTATTTTGCTCCAATTTATAAAGCACCTGTGAACTGTCTTGTATCCAAGAAAATAACTTTTAAAACAAAACCAAAACACAGGTAAGGCAAGAATCACTGACAGTTAAATAAGGGAAAGGGGAATTTTCAGCTTATTTTCCAGATCATTTTGAGTGTAATTTTTAAAAAGTTCACATACAGTATAACACAGAACAGATCCTTCTCGCTCCATTCGAAAACCAATTTTTGTGCTCCTCATCTCTCTTGTGACCAGCCTTTTCCTGCTCCCTCTGCACCTCCACCACCTTCTTCCATCTTCTTCCTCTAAAGTCATGCCGAGTACTCTGCTCCCACCTCCTCATTTTCTGTGGAACATATATTCCTCTATAAAAAAGCTCAATTAATGCATATGATTTGTACATGCTTCAGTGTCTCTTGCACAGTTTGACTCAACTCAGAACTGCTTCTCCCACTTCTTTTATTACCCACTAGTATTATTTCTTTATTAGACTCCCTCTAACACAATTTTTCCATCTCATTCCTCAGTCTGCACCAGGCACAAACGGAAAGAGATGGACTTGTCTTCTGTTTCCACCAAACCTATTCCCTCATTTTTTCCTGACTCAAATTAATTGTTTTCTCCTTCCACACTGCTTTCTTTTGCCATTAATATCTTCCAAAATGTTCTTTTTACACAACTGGTTTCCTCATTTTCTCCGTGGTTTCTACTATGATCTACATTGCAATCTTGGCAACTTTCACAATGTTAACACACTTAACCCCTGCAGATCATAGCACAGCCATGTCATGCATTCCCTTAATATTCCTTTACCTCATTCTATACTATATAACTAACACAATAGGCACAACAGAGATTGTCCATAGACCAAAATTACCTTTCTCAGTAAAGATACTATCTGTTGTCTTACTGAAGGAGACTGGCTGTTCAAGTTGTACACCATGAAAAACTGAAACAGTTGCATTTTTTCCACAGACACAATTTCTGTGCTACCATGGGCTTCAGATAGTAAACCTATGGCATCAGTGAAAAACTGAAAAAATATTCAGATAGTCATCACAAAAGAGTTACAGGCACCTATGATACCTTTGTTTTAAAATAATGTTGACACAGTATTTAGGATCAATGCAATTCTTCTAATTAAAAGACACAAAACCCCCCAACATTGTCCCTTTACCTGATTGTGCTGATTAACTACAACTATACCTGTTCTATACATTCAGTGGATATGAAACCATTCCTCATGATATTTGAAAGTTCCAGGTGTATGTGAGCCCTGGCTGTTCCTTATGCATGCCATTAATGCTCCAACAGCTTCTCTAGTACTGCAAGAGCCTATGGAAAATGAAACCCAGTAATAATTATAGTTTCATTAACACGAACAATGTACTAATTGCAATGCTTGTCAGAAACTCCTGATATTCCAACACATGACCCCTACCCAAAAAGACAGCATCTGTCACAGATTAAACTACTTATAAATCATTCCCAGAAAGCATTGCCTTGAACGTGTCATACAAAAAAAGGACCTTGTGAGGTCTCGCAAGCCCTTACTTTAGAGTTACACTAAATTATGCCAAAAACTACATGAGAATCATAAATCTTATATCCACATATTTGCAACAAAAAACAATCTGAAAAGCCCTGTCACTGGGCACACCTATGCAAGAAATACCAGCAGAACAGAAAAAATAATAGAAAAGAAAAATACTAGTATGTAACAAACCTTGGTGTGTAAAGAGAACAGGAAGACACTCACAACTTACTAGTAAAACCACAGAATACTAATGATTTTGCTTATGGCATGAAGACACACTTATGATTATTATGAATTCCACTCTGAAATACTAACAGTGATAATAACTATCTGGATTTTTTCTCCCAAATTAATTGTAATACTAGATCAGAAATCATATTTCTGAGGTTTAAAAATAATAATTACAAATACAGTATTTATTTTCTTACCTAGATTAGCATCTGCAGAAACCTGAAGAATTCTAATCGTGTAGCTGAGACCGTCAGGGCTAGGTTTGAGCAATTCTGGTAAATAGTAATCTATCATGTAAGTGCTTTGGTGATGGTTCCCTTCACACAATATTACTAGAAGAGAAATCCAGATGTCATGCCACTGGTCAGTGCAAGTGCTTTCTTGAAAACGCAAAGTAAAATGGGCTTTGTGATTTATAAACATGGCTTCCAAAAGACCACCTGGACAGTGATCCTAAGAATCACTATCTAGGACAGTGAGAGCAAGAGACTGATCATTCATCACGTCTAGGATTTGCACTGGAATTGTTCCGTCCAACTGTAGTATATTTTCAGTGCCCACACTCTCCACAAGACAGCCAGGAGAAGTGTATTTTCCTTTGACATGTCATTCCAAACTTAGTAAATGTTTTATCAGCCTTGCAAACAATGGATCTGATTTTTCATCAGAACCAGTAATGGTGGTTCAGGGTATCTGAAGAAGATTCATGAACATCAATTTAGCGTCTAACACCATCCAGAGGTTGTTCCCAGTTCATATAAATGTATTCCAGCAGCTTCTCAATCACATCTGAGTTCCCATTAAGTTTGATTTTTAGCTCTGGGAAGCCTGAAATGATAACAGCCAATGCTGAATTAGTCCAAATAGCAAGGATTCTACACAAAGATATTGCCATATTGGATTCTTTAATCCTTTTAAAAAGAACAAACAAAAAAATTCATTACTACATTTTCAAATATTTATTTAATATTTTTTATTTCAAAATAATAATTCATCACATTAGCTTACCTCACACTAAACCAGGTAAGGAGACACTAACAATGCATTGAAGGAAGGAAACTAATATAAAAAGGAGGTGACGAATTGGATGTTGCAAGTGTACACTTAGTTATGTCACATGCTGTTAACTGGTCACAGCTAAATATGGGGAAAATAAACCTGACAAGCCACTATATTTGCTATTTTAAAAAGAAAACATTACTATCTGCAGGCTAACAGTTTATTAGATGGAAGCAGATAAGCCTTGCAACCAGAAAAAAAAGAACAAAAAACCTCATCTTACTTTGACTATTCCACTCATTGGCACACATTTTTTTCTTCTGTACTTTTAAAATCATAGCAGGTGATGTCCTAAAGCTAAAGTTATCTGCTTACATAACAAGTGATTCTGCCACACATTACCATCAGGTAGTTGGTAAACTAATCCCACTTAGGCTTGAAAAACAAAATTTCAGTTTAGCACACAAGAGAAAACTTAACTTAGATCTAAGCAATATCAAGACACTGTGTTTTTCAAGCTTACAGACTTATTCAGAATATATTAAAAAAAGATTATCTGTGGCAAAAACTAATAGCATTACACTGAAAACATCAAAAAGATATTCCATGAACTATGCAAAATGTAAAAAAAAAAAAAACCCACAAAACAACCAACCCCCTCCTCCCAAACATGAAACAATACAAATCAAAGGAGAGGCTAACTCTGAACTCAAGGACAACTGATGTGATATCTAATAATAGTTTTACTCCATTTTCACCCATTTTCTTCCATTCTAGCATAGCCAGTGCTCCATAGCAAAGAAAGAGAAGAACTGAGTGAGGGAGTTCCTCCATACACAAAGTCCTACAGCTGCTCACAAACCACACTGGCACACACAGGTGTTTCACTGACCCAAGAAGCAAGTCACTGACCTGTAATAGCAAAAAACAAAACAAAACACCACCACCACCCTTTACCATATCCCAGCACATGAAAAAGCCATTTTGTGCATAACTGAGAATCTCAGAAGATCTGAGATTTCTTGTAAATTGTTTTTCTCAGATTCAAACCCCTACTCTTAGTATTCCACGTGGCAAGGAGAGAGTAAAGAATTTATCCTGCAGCAAAGACTGATACAGACTTTGGCAAGTCTTGCTGTCAGCATCAGCAAAGCCTCTGAACCACACGGGTAGCACTGAGCTATGACATTGCAGAGTCTTTAGCAAAGAAATACATTTATCAAGCAAGGTAAACTGGCTTCAACTGGCTCACACATTGATTTAGTAAACAGAATAACAGCCAGTCTCGCGGTAGTCTGAACAGTTTGCTGGAGCTGCTACATGGCAGAAAAAGATATTTTACATTAAAGTGCAGCAAACACTGTGTACTAGAACGATGTATCAAAATTACAAAGATGGTATTGTATTTTCCTAGACTGCTTGTAGTTGTATAATCACAAATCTGTAGTGTCCACCTGGGTAGCAAGTATTCATGAATTTATACTCCAGTGTAATAGGAAACTATTAATGCCCTTTAACAGATAAGGAATATAGAACTGCCCAGTACAATACAAAGGGCTGTGGCCTATTAAATTCTACTGTTCAAAAAAATCTGCACAAGAAGTGAACACAATTTGTTATAGCGCACCAATAAACAGCTCTTACAGCCTAATTCATACAGATCGATAAGGTTTTGGTAGGTACAGACATTTGGTGAGTCTCAGAAGTATTTGGTAATTTCTAATTTATCAGTAACAGCATTTAACTTTTTTTTTTGGTTGGACAGTTGAACTGTAACTACATAATCATGATGTACAAATCATAGCTTGCCGAAAGACTCACTACTGCTCTCACTCCTATTAATCTCAGCAGTTCAATTTCCACTAAAGCTAAACTAAGTTTTTATACATACAGGTTGTGTTTACTACAAAGACAAGAAAACTGACCTGAATAAAAACACATGGGTTTGAGTATTACTGAACTTCCCATCCATTAGGAAGTTTGTGAAGCTTTTCAGTAAACTACACATACTTTGCCATACAAAAGACTCATGGTGTTTCCACAAACTTCCTTGGATATTTTCATGTAATTTCTGTACAAGCACCACTGAAACTTTAATGCCTATCAGTAAATTGTGCATCACCTGAGTCAGACCAATACAATTTCCATAATTAAAAAAAAAGCATTCTTCATTATCCCCAGAAAGCTATATTCTTCCAACTTCAGACAGAATTAATAGTGAAAACTTATTTAATGTTCAATTTGGCCAGATATGTAACTATAGAAAAACAATCAGCAGATGCAAGGGCAGCATTTTAAAATGAAGTTTAAAAACTTAAAGACAAATTCTGCTACAGTTTCTGCAGGTTCCTGTGACAAACTTTCACTCATTTGATTCTGCCTGAGTAGAGCTGACCTTTCCCAGAAACCTTCCAAAAAAGACCAATGGAACACAGTGCTGCTCCTTTCTCATTTTTCAAGCAGTTCCTTGATGCATAAAGCGTATTTCTATGATTCAACTTTCTTCTAGCATGAAGACAGGCAATACATAAACTTTTAATGTACAAAACACTCCATTAAGCATCCTTCTCCTCTGGTGCCACAGTGAAGAGGCGTCGTGTTACACAATGCTGGAAGATGTCAAGATATTAAATGATGACTGCTGTGACAGGCTGAACAGAATATCAATACTGAATCAAACACTCACAGAAAACGGAAGAGTATTACTCTACCTGAATTTTAATAAGTGTGTCTATTAATTACAGTGTTCAGTCACAATTCAGATAGCAAAACCACAACTCAAAGGCCTCCCTTAAAAGTAGTAGCTCTAACACAGTACCAGTGCCTTAAATGTTACTGCTTTTACTTTCCTTCCTTGCCTTTTTATTTTATATCAAACTGTCACAAAAGAAACTCATCAGTAGCTTTTTCTCATTTAAAATATGTATAATTCTAAAATTACATTCCCATCTTTCATCACTGTATGGCTATCAAAGTGATAGCCAAACCATACCAGATTATCTTGCATGAGTGAAATAAAAACAGAAACAGCTTACATTGAATTTACTTGCCTGTTTTCTTCCTGTATGTCAAGTAGTGACTTCTGGAGAAACTGAAGAACTAGTGATAATGATTATGGCATATATGTATTTCAAAGTTAAATAGGACAGGAAAGTTCTATCAAATCAATCATGCATACACTTCACACCAGACCGAATGAACAGTTATCAATGTAATGGTGAATTTAACTCCATAAACAAACCTGGTTTTACAACAACTCGGTGCAAAACAAGAATTTCCAACCCATCTGGCCTAATCCAAGGCATTAAGAGTTCTGGTTCCTGAAGTTACCAAGAATTAAAGACGATAAAAGGTCCACAGTAAGCTGTGAATATTACCTGCATGCTGAGGGCACAGTATGTCACGTTATCCCATATTACCAGCAGATCAGACTTCTATCAAATTATTGGTAAATAAAATTCTTGCCACAGCAGGCCTGGGGTTGCTACAGTCATTGCATATTAGTACCACAAACTCTCAGTAATTGAACTACAACAATTTGTAGCGCACAAGAGATTACTTCTAGATAAGGAAAACATTAAAAAAATAAATACTTACTCTTCAATTTTTTACCTTGCAAACACTTTTCTCAAGGGATCCCTCACCTCCAGTGAAAAGTATGTCTCTCCCAAAATATCCAAACAAGCTTTAACCATGGGATCACATGCAGAGTCTTGATCCATCTTTTTCACCAATGGCAAAATCCGTAATCAACAGAACACATGATCAACAAAAGCTGTAGATATATCCTATTATTAACAGTGGCAGAATTGCCTCCCATGCAAGTACATGATACAAAACTGTCCTCTCTTTACCATATCCCATTGAGTTTCAGGTGTTGAATAATGTTTCAAGAATACCCCTAATACCAAAAATATATACATCCAAAATAAGAAACGTGTTATCATTTGCCTTCCATCATTTCTCAATAACTGTAGCCCTTGCTAATTTAAGCATTAGAACTACATAACAACTGCTTTTTACCTATTTCCAGGAACGTTTGAAATACTATAAAGTTCATTTTAGAACTGTATTTTCCATTAATAATGCACATGACACTTTCAATTACCAAAACCTACACCAGCAACAGTGAAGTCTTACTTGTTTGATACACTGCGTGCAGTGCAGAAGCAGAGATGCCAGGTTTTGCTCTTCAGCCTTTGAAAACCCTACATTTGGAAGAAGTGTCCCTTTTTAGAAAGCAATTATGATAACCAATATAAATAAGACATAATTTATTACAAGAAATCACTGGCTCTTAAAGGTTTCTTTCCTGTTCCAATAAACCTACTAATATCACAATCCCTAAAGTCACCTTACACCACCTTTTTTTTTCTAACATTAAAAAACCAAAATACAAGTTTCATTATAATTTAACATTAGGCTTCATCTTCAGTATGACCGTTTCAGTATGACCAGTTTCACAAAATCACAGCATGGCTGAAGTTGGAAGTGACCTCTAGAGGTCACTTGGTTCAACCCCCATTGCTCAAGTAGGGTCACCTAAGGCAGGCTGCCCAGGACCATGGCAAGACAGCTTTCCAGTACCTCCATGAACAGAGACTTTCCAATTTCCCTGGGTAACAGCACTATGCTCATGCTGTCACCCTCACACTAAGAAAGTGTTTCTTGATCTTCAGAAGGAACTTCTTGTGCTTCAGTTTTTGTTCATTCTGTCCCTCATATTACTGTTCAACATGGCAAAAAAAAAGCCTGGTTCTGTCTTCTTTACACCCTGTCTTCAGTAATTTTTATACATTGATAAGATTCCCTGAGCATTCTCTTCACCAGCCTGAAGAATCCCAGTTCTCCTAGCCTGTCCTGCTAGGAGGGATGTTCCAGGCCCTTCACAATCTTAGTGGCACTCCACTGGACTCTCCAGTACGCCCAT